TGAAAAAAAAAAAAAAAAAAATATCCACTGCAGAAGAATATGGCAATTGACCAATCAGAATCAGTTACTCCAGCATAATATTATTTATAAGTGCTTTGCATATTCACTTCAGTGTCTGTACTATACCAAAATGCTGTTTATTAAACATGAGTCAATCAGCCTGACTATATTAGGTTTACACTAATGAATGCCATTTGGGGGGCCGGTCAGCTGCTATCGGAGGCTGCCCCGATTGCACCAATAAGTGGCTTGTGCTCTTTCTCTCTGTCTCGCTGAGATAAAGCGGCACGGAATGAATCACTGCAGGCAACGCACGGTATTTTTACAAAGGAAACACGCGCGTGTCCTTCAGAGGCCTGATGCTTCGTGCCCTTGTTTTTCATCTGCTGTTGTGTTTCTTATTGCTATTTTAGAGAGTCTGATGTGGTTTGTTTCATCACACTGAGTCAGACGAGGTCATCTGAGCTGAACGTACATATATGCACACTGTTACAGGAAAAATACCCCTGTGTGTTCAGAATGTCCCGCTTGCTTGATGGTTGACGGTTGAAAGAAGCCACTCTGGCCATGCTGTGAGAGGGTTTTTGGTATTCCATCAGCAGATTTCTAGTGTAAGAGCTGGGACTCTTTGTACCATTACAAACACAACACAAAACACACAGAAAGACCGTAGGCTACAATGGCATACAGGGAGCAAGAGATGGAACGACAGAGTGAGTTTGAAATAGAGAGAGAGATAACAGGAGATTGAAGAAGGTATTTAAAGGGATAGTTCATCTAAAATATATATATTTCTTTGTCATTATATGCTTACCCTCATGTAATTTCAAACCTGAATGCTATTGTTTTTCTGCATGTATGTACCCTACCATTCAAAAATTTGGGTAAGATTAACATTTTTTTTAAAAAGAAGTCTTATGTTCACCAAGACTGCATTTAATCAATCAAAAATACAGTAAAACAACAAAATTGTGAAATATTACTGCAGCTTAAATAATGGTTTTCTGTTTTCATATAGTTTAAAATCTAATTTATTCCTGAGATGGCCAGGCTGATTTTTTTTAGCCAGTCTTCAGTGTCACATGATTCTTCCGAAATATTTTAATATGCTAATTTGGTGCTCATTTCTTAATATTATCAATGCTGAAAACAACTGTGTAGCCTAAAATTATGAAAATGTTTTTTTTTTTAGGATTTTTTGAATAATAGAAAGTTCAAAAGAACAGCATTTACTTTGAAACATAATACATGTCTTTATGGTCATATTTGATCAATTGAATGTGTCCTAGCTGAATAAAAGTATTAATTTCTTTCAATAAAAAAATCTTACTCACCCCAATTTTTTGAATGGTTGTAAAAGCACCATAAAACAGTTTAAAAGCCCTTTTGTGAAGAATGTAAAGAAATTTAGGTCACTGCTGAGTCACATCAGTCTGATTTGTGAATGACTCAATCTTTTGAACAGAATCCTTTTAATAAACAAATTGCAGAAATTGGATTGAACGATTTGTTTATGAATTCAACTGCTCCGGTTCTCATTTTGACTTTTTTGGTAATAATTAAAGAACTCAAGTGGTCACTGTGTATATATATTTAACAGAAATCAATGACTCTCATAAAGTAAATAATTACAGGATTTAAATTTTTGAGTGTACTATCCCTTTAAGGCAATGTTTTAAATTGAGTCTACCCACCGTTTCATGGCCCAACATTAATTATCAAAGATAACGGGACTATCTTTTGACTCCCGCAGGACAGAAAGGAAGTACTGCAATAGTTGCAGTTGAATCACCCTGGCTAATGCCCTGTGCATCCCCTAAGCCCTAAAAACACACGGATTGATCCCTGGAGAATGTGTGTCCTCACTAGATGGTGCCTTCGGGACTCTTCCGATAGCCTCAGCAGGAAAAGCTAACAGCTCGGAGATTTTATGAGGTTTTGGGGTGTCAGTCGTGCTGCTGTCTGAGAAGGGCTTATGGGAGTAGCTTAAAGTATTTGAGATGAAAGACAGAGCAGCCGAGTCGAAATACCACAAGGCGAGTCTGTGAGAGTGTGTATGTGGATCCGTGCATGTGTTGACATGGTTGGACCACAGCATCTCATTTACACCCGAAAGTGTCCCTCCCCAGCATCCTGCTCTGGCCAGCGGTGTGCAGTGAGGAGCAGCCGCCTGGTAAAGCAATGTCCCCTCAGGCCACGCCGAAGGGATTTCCGTTGCAATCAATGCAACCGCCCTCCAAAGAATGTCATCCTCATCGGGCCCCAAGGGGAAAGTGAGTCCCAGCAAAAACGGATCAACAAAGACCTTGCTTTTACGATGCAGACATGAACAGGCATATCAAATCACGAGCAGGATTCGTCTGCTGAGATGAGGATGAATGAAACAGCTTATGATAATGTAGGTGTATAATACACAGTACGGGTCGAAGTGATGTGGTTTGTTACACAGTGTTTCTATGTTACTTTAATACATTAGCACAGCTTCTGTTTTTGATATTCCAGTTCTGGTATAAAATGTGCAGTTTATATTTCTGTGCATATGTGCCATTCTATCTTTCTTTTCTTATTCTATCAACCCATCCTTCCATCCATTCATCCTTTCTTCCTTCATCTTTCCTTCCATCCATCATTTCTTCTTTGTTTATTTCTACAAACTAAACCACCAAGATTATTCATCCCTTCTTTCTCCATTCATCTATCCTTCCAATCCATTCTTCTTTCCTTTCTTCCACAAACCCAACCTTCCATCCTCCCTTCCTTCTTTTGTCTCCATTTCTTTCGTTCCTTCTACCATCATCATTTTTCCTTTGTCTATATTTCTTTCTTTCCACAATCCCAACCACTCACATCTACTGTATCCAGCCTTCCTTTCTTCCTTCATCTATCCTTCTATTTATCCTTCCTTCCTTCAACTAACCCAACCACTCATCCTTCCCTTCGTCTATATTGCTTTCCATCCATCCATCCCTTTTTTCCTTTGCCTATATTTCTCTTTCCTTCCTTCATTTCACAAACCAAACCACCCACATCCATTCATACTCCATCCTTTCTCTCTTCCTTCATCTATCCTTCCATCCATCCATACTTTCACCCACCCATCTTCATTTCTTCCATCCCTTCCTTTTTCAGCTGTCTATATTTATTTTTTCCATCTTTCATTCATTCCTTTCTTCCTAAAACCCACCTATCCTCCCTATCCCCTTTGTGTCTATATTTCTTTCCTTCCACTCATCCCTTCATTTTTCCCTTATCTATATTTCTTTCTTTCTTTCCTTCCTTCATTCCACAAACCCAACCACTCACATCTACCCATCCTTTCATCCATTCATCCTTCCTTCCTTCATCTATATTGCTTTCCTTCTTCCACCATCCATCTATCCCTTCCTTTTTCCTTTGTCTATATTTCTTTCTTTCCTTCCTTCATTTCTAAAACCCAACACCCACATCAAATCATACTTCACATTCACCCTTCTCTCTTCCTTCATCTATCCTTCCATCCATCCTTTTTCTTCCACCCACCCATTCTTCTTTCTTCCACCATCCCTTCTTTTTTCAATTGTCTATATTTCTTTATTTCCATCCTTCATTCCCTCCTTCTTTTCTTCCTAAACCCATCTATCCATCCCTTCCTTTGTCTACATTTCTTTTCTTTAATTCCCGTCTTCCACACATTTTTTCATCCTTTTTGCTTACATTATTAATCCAACTTTTCCTTTCATACACCCACCATATCATCCATCTTTCCTTTCTTCCACCCACTCATCCTTCCTTTCATCCATCCATCCATCCTCCCTTTCTTTCATCTTTTCTTCCATACTTCCACCTATACTTTTTTCCTTCCTTGCACTATCCATCCCTCTATCCATGCTTTCTTTTTCCTCATCCATCCATCCATCCATCCTTTCTTTCTTCCACAAATCCTTTCTCCCTTCCTTACTGACATTATCCATCCATCCTTCCTTTCTACTTCTACCATCCAACATTCTCCCTTCCTTGGTTACATACTTGACACACGCTTATAAAACCACTGGATGTGATCATCAGACTCATTCTGGAGATTCGAGTGTTTTCTCAAAGTGGCTGGAGGGACTCAAACAGGGCGTTTATGCATTTATGCTCATTTATCTGACTTCAAAGTGCTTCCACACTGGACCGGACCATGAGACGGTACCTTGGGAGGAGCGTCAGAGCCGGGATACTCGCGCTGGTCCAGCTTGTTCCATCGCTGCATGAGTTTAATAACCATGGGATTGCTGAAGTCCACCAGCTGAAAGCCTGTCACATTGGCTCCCCCATGCATGAAACGCTCCAGATTGATGTCCTTAAAACCCTGCCAGAGCAAAGAAGTGGAAAGAGTAAGAAATACAGAGAGAGAGAGAGAGAGAGAGAGAGAGAGAGAGAGAGATTATTAAAATGTAGTTGGCAATGCAGCGCTACGATAAGAGAAATTCCACAAACATTCATAGCAACATCCAGCTCGCCTCTGTGAGCCAATTCCATGCACAGCCAGAGAGCAGCGAGAGAGAGCACGCTCTGCAGCTCCCAGCATCATTAAAACACTGCCACCACCGCTCACACTGGAATACGAATTAGTCTCTCAAATTGACGTATCTTGCTTAAAGAAAAGCGAGGATTAAGAAAGAAAAAGAACTAGGGAGGGCAGGAGACAGAGGGGCCGCGACAACTAGAGAGAGAGAGAGAGACCAGTGGAGTGGAGAGGAATATGTAGAAAGAGATAAAACAGAATATGAAAGGAGGACAAGCTGACAGGGAGAATAAGGCAATAAAGGAATACAATTTAGCTCACCAAATTTGCCATGATGTAATGGTAGCCTTTGACATGCTTGCCGACACTCACAATCTGCGGAGATAAACCAGACATTGCAGTGAGGGCAAATCCTAAAAGCAAATACAGTTGTCGGCATTCACCCAGCATATGAATGCACAGCAGAGCTGTAAGCCGTTGGGAAAGCAGAATTCCACTGTTATTAATTATTTCTAATCAAACAGGCTGCCTTTTTCCATAACGCTCTGTAATTTGAGGAATATTGAAGCAAACGCCAGCAAGAATATCTTAAAATGATTTTAACAGCTACAAAATGTTGCAAAAGGAAATATCAAGGGATCAGTTTGCAGGGAATAAAGAAATATGCCCTTCTAATGTGTCATTTCTGAAACTGAATTACTTGAGGAAATCTGTTCTTTGTTCCCTCAGGACCTTATGCTTGCACATATTTAATTCTGTTTAGTTAACCCTGATGCACAGTGTACAGTACAGTTTATAAACATTTAAAAAACATTTTTAACTATTCTGGGTGTGGTGTTGCATTACCTTTGACCCTGTCCCATAATTTTCTACGACTGTGTATTTCATATGTAATTATATATAATTTAAAACATATATATATATATATATATATATATAAATAGAAACATCATGATATTTCAATTACATGTTATTTGCCTTTTATTTGTATTTTTTTAATACAATAATTTATGCATTTGGCATTGCTTTTGACTTGACAACCATCCTCTTATCTCACCTGTTCCAGCATGTTGTTCAGTCTCTCTGCCTCCAGGTCTATAACAAACGTCTTTTCCTGCCTGCGGTCCAGGTCTTCGAGAAGCTGCCGGTAACTGGCATCATTAAAGTTCTCGACACATATGGCGCTGACCTGCCAACCAATCTGGCCTGCCTTTTCCATGATAGCCTGCAGTATCGAATACCCTATGACAAAAAAGAGACAGCGAGGCATTTGATCAGCGTGTGCATCAAACCACCGAAGGCTTGAACCATTGAGCCGTGGCTCTCATTTATTCAGAAAGAATGTGATTTATGGCATTGTCAGTGAGTCATTCCTGCACCAATGCGGTACTCTCTGATCTGCAACGGCAGGCCTGTGAGCGATCACATGGCGCAGATCGTAGGGCGCTGATAAGAACCTCCCGTCCTTCCATGCGGACTCATTTTAGGCCTCAATCGCCACAAAGCTTACAGTCCCAGAAGCCTCAACAGTACACAGAGAAATGGACAAATACATCGCATTTCTTCGGTTTCATGAAACGAATCTCCTGCATCCTTAAAATAGAAGCCATCATCATGCAGCGATACACGTGTCGGTTAAATTGGAAGACAGAAAGAGCTGCTTTTTGTCACCTTCTCCAAGGTGTGATTGAGGCTTCCTGAGAGCTGCATTACAGCGTTTGTGATTCTAGCTACTGGCCTCAGTGCTGCTTGTACTAATCAGACAGGGCTGGTGTTGGATATGTTAATCTAGCTGTTTGAAATAGGCACTCGGAGCCTCTGAGGCCCACTTGACTCCAAGATGAGCAGATGTCCCTGTAAAACGGACCCTTATGGTCACAATCAGAATTTGGCAACGCAGCTCTCTTGGCTCCACTATTTAATGGATTAACCTGTGCTTGATCTGGCAACCCTTTTGCTCAATCGGGTGTCTGTTCGCTACCTGCTTCTATCTTAAACTGCCAAATGGGGTGGTATTTATGATAATATATGGGTCTATCTAAATTGATGACATAGGAGATGTCCAAGATAAAAAATAAAAATAAAAAAAACATCCAGAAAAAATGAACATATTTAGTTACACTGTATATACAGTATATAAATTGTCATCAATCACTCAAAAATGAATATTCTGTCATTATTTACACACCATATTTTTTTTTTTTTTTTTGTCCATTCACTGAAAGTCAGTAGGGTCTAGTGCTGTTTTGGCCTCCACTGACAAAAATATATTTCAAAATATCTTGGTTATGTAGAAGTCAGAAGTAAGTCAAAAGTTTGGAATGACATGAGTGTGAGCAAATGATGACAATTAAACATTCTATGTTTTCTATGTATATAATATATAAAATAAAATGAATTTTAATTCATGTTTTAATGCGTTTTTAAAGCAGCAGTCCCTAAGTTTTGCCTCTTTGTCGCCATCTCTGTTTGAAAACCTGGAATTGCAGCTGGGTGCGGAATTATCTAGCTTGCGTGGGTTGTGTGTGAGTCGGCGCGGCTCCAGCGCGGATAAATCTAATGTTCTGAAGAGTATGTGGCAGTCAGTCACCGCACCGGTGTGGATATTTACTGTACTTCGCAATCACAAATTAGCCTACTTCTTGGAATATGACCCAAATAAGAATGTTCACCGTATATTGCCATCTGAACAAGTAAGTAACAAGTCTGCCACGTTTGTTCTGACCAACTGAGGAAAAAAGCATTACCATAAATCTGGCTACCAATGGTGATTAAATCTAAAGATCGGTTAGCTCATATCACATCAAACCGTTCAAATTATTATTATTGTTATAATAATATATATATTATTCTCAAATGATTAATGTTAACAACATCAGCATTGGTGACTATGAGTATAGTGTGTATTAGCGTGTAGATTTCAATTT